TAGAAATCTGAAACTTGGTACACATGTAACTTTGGGATGCAGAGTTAAAAAAATCCGACATTGGAGGTATATGCCCGGGGGGGGGTACAAATTTCGGAGGGAAACGTTTTTCTTAAATATACTTTGTGACAGATGAGGATTGCATTCAGAGTGTCAGCTGAATGTGTTGGGTTCAATGGTGTAGTTGTAGCAACGCTGACTGGCAACCAGACGTTCTGGGTTTAATTCCCGGTCATTCCACGGCTTTGTTTGGCTATTTTTGGTTGACAGGAAAACGATGAGACATGGAAAGCTGAATCTTGGCATGGACGTGCCTACCGAGAGGATAAATTCAGGAAAAATGCAAATTTTAGATCCATGCCCTGGTGGCAAATTTTTTGAGCCGACGTTTTCAAGCATTTTTCTGGTCCTGGCGTATTCAGCTAGTGTGGGAAAATAAAAAGTTGGTACATAATTTCCTATTGGGATGCTGCAAAAAATTTCAGACTTTAGGAGTAAATACCATGGGGTCACAAATTTCAAAGGGAGATGGTTTTAATTAATTTTTTTGCATCAGTTAAACTAATGAACATGGAAAACTGAAACTTTGCATGAATGTGACTACTGAGACAAAGAGTTAAATAAAAATGTAAAGTCTCGAAACATATCCTAGGGAATTTTTTCGAGGGGCGATGTTTTGGAAAATAAATTGTGATCAATTCTGATTTGGACAGAAATGGAAAGATGAAACTTGGCAAAAGTACAAGTGATATTACTGAACTAAGGGAGTATTGAGCTTTCATGGGGCATCCCCTCTGGGCATAACATTTGGGTGGGTCGGCTTTTCCAAATACAGTTTTTTCCGCCGGCAAAAAGGGGAAACGTATGAGGCTGAAACTGGGTGGCATGGAGTTCCCTGAGACTACATTTTAAAAGAAAAAATATTTTCGTTGAATCCCATTGTGATCATTGTTTTCAGTCCCAATTTCCTGATTTTTTTTATTCAACGAAACAGAGACAGAAAATTTAAACTTCCCTCAGAAGTATTTGTTGGCTGAGTAGAAGAAAAATCTTAATTTTGAAATATGTCTCCTAGGCTTATATTATAAGAGGGAAGTACTTCAAAATGTATTTCCACCCTTACAAAAAGTGTCACAAGAAAAGATTTCAAGATAGGCGCACATAGAATCATACAGGTAATGAGTTTGATAAAAATCAAGACTTTCAACCCAAATGTCATGTATTTCAATGGGGACGTACTTTAAATAAGTGTTTCCCATTTCGCAAAAAATGAATGAATTAATCACTATCCAAGGTAATGGAGCAGCGATGGCGCGACCACAGCGTGTTTGCCATTCAGGCAAACAAACGCGCCAGTTATCTAATATATATATAGACGATCGTGACTGACTGGCGCTAATTCTAACCATGTTCGAGACATGATGAGAGGCTGAAACTTGGTACACGTATAGCTATTAGATTGCTGACTTCAGAAAAATTCCAACTTTGGGGATAAGTGCACTGGGGGCTCATTCCAGGAGGTCTCATTTTGTAAGCCTAGGTTGAACCCTCGGACGCTTAGGCCTAAACCATTCTCAGGTTCCCCTTGCCTTCAACAAAACGGAAGGAACGTGAATAGCTGATAGGTTTTCGATTCCAGAGAAAGTCTAACTTCGAATGCCCAACATTGGGGTCCATGCCCTGGGGGCACGTTTTGGGGG